TCATAACTGTGGAGAATATTTTTCAGCAGTGTAGATATGATCAATTTCTTTGGGCATATTTTGTTTTGCTCAGCTTTTTTTGGTTGTATTTGTTTGTTGGTTTTGTTGTTGTTATTGTTGTTGTTGTTGTTATTGTTTGTTTGGGGGCCAGACTTGGAAGTGCTCAGGGCTTACTACTGGCTCTGTGCTCAGGGATCACTCCTAACAGGCTCCAGGAACTAGACATGGTTCTAGGGATTGGACCCCAGCCAGCTGTGTGCAGGACAAGTGCCTTACCCTCTGTAGTACTAGGCCAAGCATTTATTGTTTTAATAATTATCAAAGTTATTCCACTAACATCTCTCTTCTCATGTAGATACAACAAATGAAGAAAAAAGAGAAAATTCCTCCTTGTAATAAGAGCTCTCGGAGTTAATCTCTAACAGCAATGACAGTCCCGGGGCTGCGCAGTTATACCGCCAGCTCGTGTTGGATCTCCTGGCCACCTGCCCTTCCCTCCCTCCACCTCTAATAACCACAAGTCTGATCCCCTGAATTTTGCCAGTTTCACTTCATATCCCACCTATAAGTGAGATCACAGAGTATTCTAGTATTTAGCATAACGTCAAGGTCCAACTATGTTGTTGGGAAAGGCAGGAATTTTTTTTTTCTACACCTTCAATTTCTCAAATTAAAAAAATCTCTGAGTACTTTTCTGGTCCCACCTCTTCTTCAGTTTCTTCTTGAGCTGATGTTCAGAGTAGGAAGGGGCTGGAGATACAAGAACAGCAGGTAGGGTGTTTGCCTTGCACACGGCTGACCCAGGTTCAATCTCCAACATTTCACATGTTCGCCCGAGCACTACCAGGAGTGATCCCTGAGCACCAAGCCATCAATAGGTATCACTCAAAACATTTTTTTAATGCTAGCAAGCTAAATGGGGCCAGAGTGATAGTACAGTAGGTAGGGGGCTTACCTTGCATGGACCTGGGTTCGATCTCCAGCATCCCATATGGTCCCCCGAGCACCACCAGGAGTAATTCCTGAGCGCAGAGCCAGGAGCAACCCCTGAGCATCGCCAGAGGTGACCCAAAAAACGAAAGAGAAAAAACCCAGAATGTTGGGTTCCTGTTGGAGTCGAACTTCTTCCCTGCTTGTCACTCAGCTTCGGTGAAGCCGGGTTCCTCTTCCAGCTCGCAGTTCTCTCCTCCGATTGGGTAGAAGCAAGTTTCTTCTTCCAGCTCGCGGGTCCTTTCTCATCTCTTCTGCTCCACTGCAGAGCCTGACCTACAGAGGGGCTTGGGGGTTCAGGGATGGAGCAGGATCAAACCTGCCTGTGAAGCATCAGCCCTACTGCACGTAGCCTTATCCTCAACCCCCAAAGAGGTCTATTTCTGTTATTATAGTTTTCAATTCTCTGTTTTTTATGGGATACTTTACAGACTCCATTTCTTTCTTTGGGTTTTTATATCGGCTTCACTCTCGTTCCTAGTAGTTGAAGCAATTCTCACAGCTGCTGGAAAGCCTTGCTCAGAGAGTCTGAGATGATGCGTTTATGTAAGAGAACATCCTCGCTCTCTCTGCGGCTTGCATTTTCATCACGCTGGAGCCCCTCCTGGCGGCTCCATGATGAGCGACCCCAACCTACACCTAAAAACGTTTCCACTCTGGAATGAGACCAGATCTTAAGCCAGTTGCCACCAGGTTTTCTATGCCAGGTGGAAGGGAAGGAAGGTGGGGGTGGGGGAAAAGGTGGGGGTGGGGGGGAAGGTGGGGATGGGGGGTGCCGCTGCCATATAACCCTTTGACAGTACAACGGCTGCCTCCCCGACAGAGCTCCTCACAGCTTCTGGGGCTGGCAGGCTGGGCTCCCTCTGAGTCTCCATGGTTGCAGCAATGAGAGTTGATTTGCTGGTTGTAGCCAATGAAGGAAGTGGAGACCCTCCCCTGGGCACTCTCAGCTGCCCCCAGAGAAAGGAAGAGCCTGTTATGAGCCTTGAGGGTCCCCCAGGCCAGATGCCCGTGGGTTCTCCACTAACCCTGTCTGGAGCCTAGTTACTGAAGAGGTGGGCACCATGTCCCAGTCCTAGCTGGTGGCCACTGGCATGGCCTCAGGCACAGGAAGGGAAGGCGCCTCTTTAGAGCCTGGCCAGGCTGGAAGTCTAGCTCCTGGCCAGGCCCCAGTGACCAGGCCCGCTTTGCTGTGTGCTGTTGGCTGCAATAGAGCCGTTATTGTTTAAAAGGTTTTGGCCTTGTTAGCCTGCCCCTTTTTTCCCCATCTCTGGCTGCAGAAAGCAAGGTTCCTTGGGACCTTTTCATTTCTGGGTTGCCCCAGCTTCCTCAACTCCAGGTTTGGAAGAGAAACCACCAACACACAGGACCAGCCTCAGCACCCCTGCTGAGCTGGCTTGGGCTGGCCAGCTCCGAAGCATGGGCTTCTCGCCACCAGAAGGTCCCTGGGCTCTGTGGTACTCGAGCAGGGAGAGATACTCCTCTGCTCCCACCCAGAAAGCAGTTTTTATTTTTCCCTCTCAGAAGTTTAGACACAATGCTCATGGTTTCTGCTCCTGACCCCCAGTTGTGTGCTAGGCATCAGTCGGTGTCCTGAATAGAAAGGGTTTCTCTCATAGGCACGCAATTTGGCTCTGGGTTTTATTAGATGCCATGTGGGAACACTGTTCAGTCAGAGAACCCATGGGCATCTGGCCAGGGGGGACCCTCAAGACTCATAACCTGACCGTGATACCTTCAGAGGAGCCTGGCATCTTGATGATCGCATTTTTTTTTCTCTTGTTCTCTTCTGCAGACAATATGGAAACCTGGAACCTAGATCGGAGAGGCTGAATATTCGATGAGTGAGGACCTGGAGCGATAGCATAGTGGGTAGGACGTGTGGACAGCTGAGTTCGATCCCCCTCCTCCCATATGGTTACGACCACTGCCAGGAGTAGCCCCTGAGCACTGCTGGGTGGAGTCCAAAAAACAAAAATAAATTTAAAAATAAATATTAAGTCAGTGAATGAACAAAAGTGTAGCTAAATAAAATGGTAGACAGAATAGGTAGTGATGTAATTAGAGCCGTTCTGATTCTTAAATTTAAAAGCACTAATGCCTGGCCACTATTTTGAGAGTTGTTGCGATTTGTTTGAGGTTTCAGTAAAAGAAATAGGCTCTTTATATACAATCAGTAAGGTTCTTCTTAACAGCAACTTAGCAGTACTTTACCAAGGCTTAAAATTGTTCAAACCTCAGTAAATCAATTCCTCAAGGAATAATAGTAAAGATACAAAGGACTTACGCACAAAGATAGACCTTACAATGGAGCCGCATAATTCCGGCATAATTCCGTTTGTTTGTTTGTTTGTTTGTTTGGGTTCTGAGCTGGATCGATAGCACAGCAGGTAGGGCATTTGCCTTGCACGCAGCCGACCCGGGTTCGATTCCTCCATCCCTCTCCAAGAGCCCAGCAAGCTACAGAGAGTATCCCACCCACACGGCAGAGACTGGCAAGCTCCCTGTGGCGTATTCGATATGCCAAAAACAGTAACAAGTCTCACAATGGAGATGTTACTGGTGCCTGCTCGGGCAAATCAATGAAAAGTGGGGGGGGGGGGGAGACAGTGCTACAGTGTTTGGGTCACACCCAGCCATTCTCAGGGCTTACTCCTGGCTCTGCACTCAGGAATTACTCCTAGCAGAGCTCAGAAGACCCTATGGGATGCCAGGGATCGAACTGGGGTCTTCTGCGTGCAAGGCAAATGCCCTACCCACTCTGCTATTGCTCTGTGACCCCCACCACCTGGCCCCCATAGTTTTAAACACAATTTTAAATCATTCTAACGTCTTATCAAAGACAAATATATTAATACTAATACCCTCAGACCTGTTCACTATTTATTCTGACACCTCTTGGGGTGGGCTGTGAGGGAGCCCAGATCCCTGTGGGGGGAAGCAGGGGACGGTGAGGGGGAGGCCGCCTCACGGGGCCCAAACCTGGTGTGGTCATTCCCCGTGGTAGGTGGCTTGGGAAGGTGCTTCTTGGTGGAGGTGATGATCATTTTTCCTCTCCAGCTACCTACAGCAGGTGACTCCCCAAGAGTCCAAGGGCCAGCAAAGGGTCTGAGCCTGGCTCGTCAAGCCCGTGCTCTCCCTTGAACGCATGTCTCGCTTGCCTGTCTGTCTCTTTGCCTTTCTCCACTCTGGAGAAGCCTGTTCTCTCTCAAACACCTATTCCCCTCCTCTCCCCTCATATCTTTCTAAATAAGTTTCAGTAAAAACATTCTTGCTTGGGGCAGAGTGATAGTCCAGCAGGAAGGGTGTTTGCCTTGCACACCACCAACCCGGGTTCGAACCCCAGCATCCCGTATGGTCCGCCGAGCACCGCCAGGAGTGATTCCTGAGTGCAGAGGCAGGAGTAAACCCTGAGCATCGCCAGGTGTGACTCAAAAACAAAACAAAAACAAAAGATAACACCTTCTTGCTTCACCAAATAAAAAGAAAAAAGAATCTGGGGGAAGCTCCTAACCTGCTTTTCCACTAAGAGTGCAAAGTGAGTCACTTCCAAAAGGCCGTGCAGCCTTCACCTGTGCTCTGGCTGCCTGCAATAATGCTGATTCTCTGAGCAGGAGAAAACATTCAGCAGATTCGAGGAGCGAGTCCCGTGTATTCCTGAACCAGACAGCACTGTCATCCCTGAACTCCGCCAGAGAAAGGCCCCAAGTGATTTTACCCAGGAGAAGAGGGTGGTGGCAGTGCAGACCCAGGTAAGAACATGCATGAAAGAAATCGGTCCTGGGGCCTGGAGAAACGAAACTGTGGGTGAGAGCTGGCCGCGCATGACCGAGCCAGGTCTGATGCCTGCCACCACCCAGGGCACCCTGCGAACTTCCAGGGGTGACCCCCGCGCACTGCAGGCTTGACACAAATACCCCTGTCACCAAAAAGATAAAAGTGAAATGAAGTTCTAAAAAAAGAAAAGTCGACCTTCGTGCAGCAGATAGAAACCAGACGGACAAGGCCACTGCTTTATACTAGTTCATCAATTTTATTGGTCATATATCATTATATAAATCTTTCAAAATAATTAGATATTACAAGAATAGTTTATAATTCAGCTCTGATTGCACAAATACTTGACACAAGAAATTATGTTTACAAATACCCAAGCTTTCTTATAAGAATATTTTAGTAAGGAAAATAGGTCTCTACAGCCTCCAGCACACCGCTGTGGTACTCCCCATGCAGCCCGACCTCCTGCTTTCTCTAACCTAAAGGTCTCCCCATCACATCCCACAAAGCCAATCACGATAGAGCTACAGCTGCTGCTTGACTACCAGATTCACGCTGCTAAGATTTTAGACTTCTTGGGGCCCGACAGAGTACAGTGGGTACGGCACTTGTCTTGCACGCAGACAACCCGGGCCCACCACGGCATCCCATCTGGTCCCTTGAGCACCACCAGGAGTGATCCCTGAGCGCAGGGCCAGGAGTCAGCCCTGAGCATCGCCGGATGTGGCCCCCAAACAAAACCAGGTTTTAAACTTTTTCTAATCTTCCCTGATCAGGAAAACTGGATTCAGGATAAAAGAGGTAATTCAAACAACATTCCCTCTAGACATGACTTGTCCCAGGATCCTCACTGGGCAAGAGGAACAATATTTTCCCTTTTTTTTCTCAGCCTACACCTACTAGCAGCTGTAACCCCACTGAATCGGGCAGAGGAGGGAGCAACTCCTAACTTTCCTAATCGTTTCTAAACTGCAAAGACGACACCCAAAGACAAAAGTTAAATAGAAATATTAAGCAAGCTAAAATATTTCCCATTGATTTAGAATAAAGAACACTTTTACATCTTAAAAATCTCCCAGATTGAAGAAGACATAATAGAAATAAAGTATCAGGATGTGGCAGTAGTTTTATAAAAACTACTTTTCAGTGAAAAAAAACTGAAAAGGATTCATCACTTGGATCAGTGGTTATGTCACTCCCAAGGTGGCAGGAGACAGAGCCAGCAACTCTGCCGGGAGCCAAACTCAATACTTGACATTCTTCTTAGGCTGTGGCTCTGAAACCGTCTTATAAACACTGGCTGACTAGTCCAGAGGCTCGCTTAGACCGGGAGAACTTTACAGAATACTGACCATTAGCCTGAAGGAGGGGACCCATGGGGAAAACCTTTGGCATTCATTCACCATTCATTCACAGGGACTGAGCTGAGACGTGTGTCCACTTGGCAAAGCTTGTCTTATTTTTCACGGAGCCGAGATAAAATCAAAAGATAGCAGTATTCTGCTGGAACTAACAGTTCCAGAGTACTCTGCTCCAATGATCGATACTCTTAAAAGGATTTTTAAATCAAACCCTTGTCCACTAAGAGAGTTGACAGGACTTGGGGAGTGCAACACGCCCTGTTTCTCTTCCATTTCTCTTGATTTCTTCTGTCTCACCCCAGTGTAACAAACTGCTACAGATTTTCACCAAAACAATGAAGCAGCCGTTGGAAATGTGTCACTGAAAATGTTCAATCACATTATAATGGGTCACATTAGCCTGAAACTAGAAGATGACAGATATCTCTACTGCAGTGATTTTGCAAATTCCGCGTAATCAATGTAGCCATCGTTGTTCTTGTCGTCATCCCTCAAAACGCCATCTATTAAGTTAATGAGCTCCTCTTCATTCATTGGCGGCGCCTGTGCATTCCCTTCCTACAAAACAAAAAGCAAGACTGAGTCACGCACTCTACTGGAAGGGCTTAGCTAATGCCTGCAAGCTCACACTCTCCGCATCCGAATCCCTCTTCAATGAGGTAGTGGCTCCTTCCAGGAGCCCCCAAACCAGACACCAGAAATGGAACCCATCGGTGGAACTTAGCAGCCATATGACTGAAGTGGGCCCTTGCTTTTTGTTTTAAAAACTATGCTTCTGGGGCCTAGAGCAATAGCACAGCGGGTAGGGCATTTGCCTTGCATGAGGGCGACCTGGGTTCGATTCCCAGCATCCCATATGGTCCCCTGAGCACGGCCAGGGGTAATTCTTGAGTGCAGAGCCAGGAGTAACCCCTGTGCATTGCCGGGTGTGACCCCCCCCAAAAAAACTATGTTTCTGGGGCTGGAACAATAGGACAGTGGGCAGAGCACCTGCCTGGCATAAGGCTGACTGGGCTCAACCCCTGGTACTTCATACGGGGCCCTGAGTCCCACCAGGGGTGATCTGAGTGCTGAGCCAGGAGAGTAATAAGCCCTGAGCACTGCCTGGGTGTGAACAACAAAAAACAACACCCTCCCACATCCACCCACCCCCACAACATTACAAAAGTAACCCAGGTTTGCTCGAGAAAGCGTGGCGTTCCTCCGCAGTTCCAGAGTCACGGAGTCATGACCTCCAATTCATCTGGGGAGATGACTTGACCCTCAGCCCTGAGGGTCAACCCTGGCATGTGTGGGCCTGGCAGTGTGGAAACAGTGGTGGTGCTGGGCAATGTCCTGGGGTCACCAGGAGGGAGCTGGCAGTGCCAAGGCAAGGGGCTCCCAGCTCCAGAAGAAGGTGAAACAGACCTCGCCTGATAAGCCCTGGCTGACCACCTGCCCCGCCTCTCCAGAGACCCGCGGAGACATCCCCCTCCTCCCAACTCCTGGATGTCTTCCCTCCCCCTTTCCCGTGCTGCCTGCAGGCTGGGCCCCGCAGCAAGTGCAGGCCCACTCTCCGGCCGCCCCACACCCGCCCAAACCGAGTCTGCAAGGCACAGAGAGGCTGAGCGGGGGGGCAAAGGTCCATCCTCTTCCTTTTCTGGGGGGTGCCGGGGGTTGCAGCCAGGCCTCGTGCACGCAGGCGCTACACCTCATCACTGAGCCGCAACCCCAGCCCCAGACCTAGGTTGTCCATTGAGGCCCCCTCACCCATCAACTGTGGGTAAACCCCGCCTGCTCCTGCAGACTCGCTGGCACTGGCAAAGCTTTGAGGCACCCCCCCCCGAATCCCTCCGTCCTTGGCCCAATCCCTGCTCTGCCTAAGGAAGCAGGGAGCTTCTCCCCGGCTCTGCTCTCGGGTGCTGGCTCTCCAGCTCCAGCTCCCAGCAACACTCGGGGGGAGACACAGAAGCCTCAGGCTCAGGGTGCAGGACAGCGGGGAGGGTGCTGGGTCTACCACGGCCGACCTGGGTTCCAATCCCCGGCATCCCATATGGTCCCGCAGCACTGCCAGGAATAATTCCTGAGTGCAGAGACTGGGTAACCTCTGAGCATTGCCGGGTGTGGCTCCCCCCCCCAAAAAAAGCAGCCTCAGGCTGGGCCCCAACAAGCACCGCAACAGGAAGGAGGATGCGGCAGTGCCCAGGCCCACCCACCTCCTTGTGGACGTGCGTGATGGCCGTGGACAGCTCCAGCCCGTCCAGCAGGTTGTTCCCGTCATAGTCGTGCATTTTGAAATAGTGGAGCTGCAGTTCCTGCGGGGACATCTCTGCCTCGGGCTTGTTGATGACACCTTCGAGATGCTCCATGATATGCCTGAAAACCAACAGGAAAGACTCACTGCCGGGGCCGGGACCGTCAGGACCCACGGTTCAAGCTCTTCGAGTTCCCCGAGTCCAGAAGAGCTGACCCCAGTCTGCGCTCACAGCCGTGGACCAGGCCGACGGGGAGCAGGGGAAAGCCCCATGACTCAGCTGATATGTTGGCCACAACCGAGTGTCCTCCACGCCCCCAACACACAGCACCCCACTCTAGTTATGAAGTCTGGGAGGGTGAGACATTTAGATGGCCCTTTCGTAACACCATTCGAGGCTGACCCAGGTATTACATGTGAAGCTGACGGGTCCAGCACAAAAGTTGCGGGAGGTGACTCAAGGCTTGACCGTCCTCGTAAAAAGGGTAAGGCCTTGTCAGTCAGAACTCCAAGCTCTCGACTCAGGGTTCCCTCTTGTGTGTGTCACAGGAGGCGGCATTCAGGCCGGCCGGGTCCCCCACTCGGCCTCAGGATGCGTGGCATAACCGTGAAAATAAACACCTAGTTTTCAGGGGGCCGTGAGGACCAAGTATCCTCCCTGGGGAAACCCCCGGGCGGGGACACGTACTCTTGGTCATGCACCGTGTGCTTGTCCAGGGCCATGCCGGGGTGGGCATTGCTGGCTCCAGGCTCCTCGGCCCTGGCACCCAGGACACAGAAGGTCCCGAGCAGGCCGCACAGGAAAGGGAGTCCGAGCAGCCGCAGAACTCTCATCCTCGCCAGCACCTGCAGGTGGGGAGAGAGAAGATGAGCGCGAGAAGGCTCCTGGGGAACAGCCGGAGGCCGGCCCTGCCACCTGCCCGCAGAGGCTGCAGGAGGTGGCCGTCTGCGTGTCACTCGTGCTTGAGTGGGAGCGGCCCTGACATTTCCTGAGCACCCTCAGAACTCAGCAAGCAAACAGAACCGAGTGCAGTTTCCTGAGGGCCACACACAACCAGGCAGCAAGAGTGTGTGCAGAGCAGAGCTCAGAGGAGGCAGTTTCCCCTGGGGGGACACACTCAGAGGTGGGTACGGCCAGGGCCACACTACAGCCAGGCGCACAGAGTACCATGAAGGGGCCACGGGGGGAGCAGTGGTGGGGAGAGAGCAGGAGGCAGCTAGAGGGAGCCGGGAGGGGATCAGGTGAGAGTGGACGAGAAGCTGCCAAGGCGAGTGGCCCCTGCGGGCAGAGATCTCTCAGCGCATGCTCAGCGGACACCACAGGGGAGGCGAGGTGGCAAGGCTGAGTCCCAGGCGCAGGGACGTGGCCCCGTGGTAAGACCCACATGGGCAGGGCGAGGCCCCGGGCTCCGTGCCCAGCAGTCCCTGCTCCCACCCTCCCAACGAAGGGCTCAGCTCTCAGACCCGGTCTGGCACCCCGGCGGGGAAAGGGGGGGGTGGAGAGACGGCAGTGGTGGCAGAGTGAAACGACGAGGGGTAGCCCGTGACCACGACACAGTGAGCCCTCTGCAGTGTTCTCACGGCGTCCCCGGACCTTCCAGACTAGTCTCAGAAAAGGAGACCCAGCGACAGCCTAGAGACCCGGCGAGGAAACAGAAAACGGCTCACACATCCCAGGCCCGATACAGCAGATGGTGAAGGGCCCGTGATTCCCAGGGGCCCACAGGAGCCACGGCGCCAAACATCAGACAGAAAAACCAAAGCGTTACGTTCTGGCCGACCTCAGCTCTCGGGAACAGCAGAGGGGAGGTGCCTCTTCCCAAGCCCACCCTCCGCCAACAGTCCCCCCATGGCCTGCTGAGGGGATAAGGGCCCCGTGGAAGTGCGGCTAGGGCGGGGTGGAGGAGGAAGGAGCTGCTACAGCAAGCAGCGATAAGCTTCGGCCGCTGACCACATCCTGGCAGCTCTGCAGTCCGGGACCCACAGTTCCAGAAACAGTTTCATTCTTTTATTTGTGAGTGTGAGTGTGTGTGTGTGTGTGTGTGTATGTGTGTGTGTGTGTGTGTGTGTGTGTGTGTAGTGGGGGGGAAGTGCTTACATTCTGGCTCTGCGTTCAGTTATTACTCTTCGTGGTGTTCGGAGACCATATGGGATGCCGGGATAAAACGTGGCTCAGCCAGGTGTGTGCCAGGGAACTGCCCTCCCTGCTGTACCACAGAAACACACTTCTAACAGCGCCACCTTCAGGCAGGTACAAGCACTGCCGCTAAAGGGTGGTCCAAGGGAAGTTCTGAGAAGCAAAAGGCCGCCAAGGACTGCGGCCAGGGGTACAACCAGGACGTACACCCAACTGGAGGGTGCCCCTGGGCAGCACCAAGGTCCAGTGTGCCGCCATAGTGGTGCTCCTGGGGTGCTTCTGCCTCTGTGCTCAGAGGTCACTCCTGTGGTGCTGAGGGGCCATTTGTGGTGGTTGGGGATGGGACCCGGTCAGTTATATGCAAGGCAAGTGCCTTATCCTCCACCCCTCATCTCTCTGGCCGCATAAAACTTTGTTAAAAAAGTATATATATTGAAATATATATATATAAATGGAGACGTTACTGGCGCCCGCTCGAGCAAATCGCTGATTAACGGGAAGTCAAGTGATCAAGTGATCAAGTGATATTTATATATATATATATATGATTTAGAAGGGGCTAGAGAGATAGTACAATGGGTAGGGTGCTCAGGTGACCTAGGTCCAATTCCTGGCATTCCATTTGGTCCCTCCACCGCTGGGCATTGCCAGAGGGATCCCCAGGGGCAAAGCCAGGAGGAATCCTTGAGCACCATTCCCCAGCAAAAAAAAAAATATATATATATATATAATATATATATATAATTAAATGAACCCCATCCCAGGATACTTAATGTATCAAATTGGGTGTGTGCAGCAGGGAGGGCTGGGGAAATTCTAACTTAACACTACAAAGCAGTCAAGGGATTAGTAAAACAGTAATTATGGGTCCAATCTCTTCTGCAGAAGATAAGGGCCAAGACCATTCATTTTGAATGTGGCCCTTTCGGTTTCCTCTTGGTTTCCTGCATAATTAGGGCACAACAAAAGCCAGATCTACAAAACACAGTGGAGAACTCCCTCCCCACAAGGGCTGCAGAACAAAGCACCCACCACCGTGAAGCAAACAGAAACACAAACTGCTCTCTTCTGCCCAGAGGCCAAGTTGCATCATCCAGCAGCCAGCCGTGGGCTCAGCTCCCAGCCAGGCCTTCCTGGGCTCCCCGGCCACCTCTGGGTGACTGACCAGCAGGCTGGAGGGACCTGGAACCACAGCTCAGGTGCGCACACTCCCCTCTCGGGAGAAACATCTGCCCGCAGCTGGCCCAGCGCTGGTCTGTGGACAGAAGGGCTCCACCAGTTCCAGACCCTTGACCCCCGTTTTCCTCTGGATCTGCAGCTCCGGATTCTCCCAGATAGCTCTGGCTCCTCCTGCGACCTCTGTCCTCAACCTCCCCAACCTCCCGCATTCACTGTACACAAACAGGAGGTCACAGAGGCCCTCCTCTCCAAATCACCCTGTGGCCTCCCTCAGGGAAGGCGAGAAACCCCCATCTCTTGTCTCTTCCCTACCAGAATTACTGAATTTTAGCACTTCTGACGCTATCACCAAGTACTGAGCTGACCCCAGGGCGCCCACCTTCAGGTCTGGATGGGACAGAGAATGGGAGTCCAAGGGGGTCTTGGTCACAAGGCCTGAAATCAAGCACCTCCCCTTGGGGCTCTCCCAGCGGCAGGCTCAGCCCACTTATTCCTCTCACGTGTTGCTCTAATAGCTCCAAGGGATTGGAGCCTTTCTTCCAAAAAAACAGCTGTTAACAGCCTTTTTCTCTTGCCAAGCGAGTTCTGAGTCAAGAATTTAAACTCCAAGCAGCCATTCTCACCAGCACCCAGACATCACATCACACACCCGGCGGGGCAAAGGCAAAGGCAATCTGCACTTTCCTGTTTCCCGAATCCTGGACTGATGGAAGAAAATCCAAGTTTCTAGGCCAAAAAAAAAAAAAAAAAAAAAAAAAACCAAGTGTTCCCTGGAACAGGGGTTGATAATTGTTTCTAAAAGGCAGACATTTTTGGAGGGGGTGGAGGGGAAGGCCACACCCGGTGGTGCTCTGGGCCTATGCCTGGCTCTGCGCTCAGGGATCACTCCTGGCAGTGCTCAGGGCCCATATGGGGTGCCCGGGATCGAACCCGGCCGGCTGCGGGCAAGGCAAGCGCCGTCCTCCTGTGCTACCTGGCCCTGAAACGCGGACATTCAGTAAGGTTCTGTGCTCATCTGGGGGTGTCCGAGGCTGTGCCGGGCGTCCCCGCCCACCCCGTGCCATCATCCTAGGGCCTGGTGCTGCTCAGATATCGAAGGCAGCCCCCGCCCCCCCCAAATCCACTGTCCACCCCGCCCCCCGCTGATTCCAGTTGGACGCAGAGACCTGGGTCCATACCCCTAAAGGGTGCGGGGGGAGGACACCAAGGATTCGGGGACCGCCAGGAAGCAGCGCCTAAGCCTGGAGGCACTCTGGTCCAACCGGGCACTTAAAAGTTGCTCCGTGAGCCCCAGGGCTCAGCCGGAGGGGCGCGGCGGGGGCTGCGGGGCCGCGGGCGCGGGGCAGCTGCCGGGGACAATGGGCATTCGGCGGGCCGCCGGGCTCGGTGACGTCCTGCGAGGGGCTTTCTGACCTTCCCTGTGCAGTCCGAGCACGTAACGAACTGCAGCGGCCCGGAGGGGGTCAGGGGCCGCCGAGAGCGCGCGGGGCTGCTGGACACCGACCGGGCCCCCCTGGGCTCCGAGTCCGCGAATCCCCCGGGATAGAGGTTCGGTTCCGCTCGCAGCCGGCCGGAAAGTTCCCTCGGCCGGGCCGGGCCAGAGTCCCAAGCTCAGCACAAGGTCCCCAGCACCACCCCCTGCCCGCGGGACCGGGCCCCCGGCCCTCCGCTCCCCGCCGGGACACTCACCGTCGCGCCCCCGGCAGCCAGCTGTGCCCAGACGCGAAGTCCTCCAACTTGAGCCTCGCCGGCCCCCGTCCGCCGACCCCGCCTTCCGCCGGCCCCGCCCACCCTGCCGCACTGCGCGCGCGCGCGCCGCTCAGCCCGCCCATTGGTGCCGGCTGGCCACGCCCCCTCCTGGCCACGCCCCTTCCCGGGTGCTGTTTGTGTGGACGGTTTCGGTGCGTCCACGTGTATTGGCGCTCGCGGAGCGCGCACGGCCGCTCGGGGACACGCGGCTGCGGCCCGGTCTGGCCCATGATCTCCACACTGTTCTCGGAGGAGCCCCAGGGACAGATGCTGCTTTGGGACATATGACTTCTCGTGCCATGGTGTGGACACCAGGCCTGCAGGCCACTGGTCGCTAGAACGATTATTGGAATCCTAATTCTTTTAACGAACGACTGGAAAATACCGGAGCAGGTCTGGGATCCAGCATTTCCCAGACCAGCCTGTTTCTGCAGCTTCATGCCACATCTCTGCAGTACTGTTGACTTGTGTGCAGTTCCCAACAAGTTTTTGTTTGTTTTTGTTTGGGGACCATATCCAGCGATGCTTGGGTTACTCCTGGCTCTGCATTCAGGAATTACTCCTGGCGGTGCTCGGGGCACCATATGGGATGCTGGGAATCAAACCCGGGTCAGCTGAGTGCAGGGCGAACACCCTACCCACTGTGCTATCACTCCAGCCCCTGCCTTTTTTTTTATTTTAATTTTTATAGAGTTGTTCACAATAATTTATTGCGTTCAATATTTCAACAAAAACGAATCGAATATTTATTTGGTTTCACGATGTTCAGAGACTACCCTTCACTCTGCACCCAGGGATCCCTCCTTGCAGTGCTCAGGGACCCTGTGGGATGCGGGGATTGACTCTGAGTTGGCCCCGTGCAAGGCAAGCGCCCTCCCTGCTGTGCTATCGCTCCAGCACCCCATACTCTGCTTTACAAAATGATGTTTTCAGAGATACACAAAAAAATAATAAAGAGTTGGAGAGATAAGGCCCTTGCCTCCCATGCTGCCTTTCCAGGTTTGATCCCCGGTACCACATGTGGCCCCGCGAACATGGCCAGGAAGGAGCCATGAGCACAGAGACAAGAGGAAGCCTGGAGCAGAGCTAAATGTGGTCCAAAAGCTAACCAAAAAAAAGTATTTAACACCAAAAAAGAAAAAGAAATAAACTAATAAAAGAACAGAGGGGAAATAAAGCTTTTATTCCCTCCCCCCCATACTCCCCCTCCAAACAATTGCTTTTTCTGTAGACATTTAGGGAGCTTTAGGCTAGGGCACATAACAACTTGGAGCTATGGAACATGTCTTTTCTCTAACTTCTGCTCACATCTCCAGCAGAACAACACAAAGAAGTGTTGGCTCACAGGGAATGCAGGTGTCGGACCTGTTAGATATCACCCAAAGTGTGTCCAAGTCGTCGTGTCAAGTGCCAATTTATATTCTCAGAAGATCTTACGGGAGTTCTGTTGTTCCTCACCCTCCCTAGGCCTGTCACTTTCCTTTCTCATCTTTGTTTTACCATAGAACAGTTCTGTCCGTTGGCTTCAATAACCAGGGCCTGAGAAGAGGCCTGTATTTACCCCAGCACCCGGATTCCAGGCTGTACAGAGGCGCTGATGTGTCTTTAACATCTCCCTTATGAAGTGTTGGAACATTATGTGACTGAAACCAATCATGAACAACTTTCTAACTGTGTATCTCACTGTGGTTCAACTTTTAAAAGACATTTTTTTAGACATTTTTAAAAAATATGTCCCTTATGGAAGAGTGATCACACATATAAAATATATGGGGGTGGGGGTAGGGTAGAGGAATACATGAATTTTAAATAATCAAAGAATTCTATGAAGTTAACTCTGAATTCATCAGGGCTGTAAACTTATTTCCATACCTCACCAACCACCCTCTTCCTCCTTAATAACAAGGATCAAGAAATTAAATGTTCTACAATGGCCACTCAATGCCTCTATTGCAAACACCCGAAAGGAAAGAGAGAACAAGAGGGAATGCCCTGCCACAGAGTCAGGATGGGGTGGGGGGGATGGGGTGAGGGTGGTGGGAGGGATACTGGGATCATTGGTGGTGAAGAATGGGCACTGGTGGAGGGATGGGTACTGGATCATTGTATGACTGAGACACAAGCACCAAAGTTTGTAAGTATGTAACTGTACCTCATGGTGATACACTAATAACTGTCATCGATTTGCTCTAGTGGGCCCAGTAACATATCTATTGTGATACTTGTTGTTACTGTGTTTGGCATATCGGGTAGCTTGCCAGGCTTTGCTGTGAGAGTGAAATACTCTCAGTAGCTGCAGGGCTCTCCAAGAGGGGTGGAGTAATCAAACCCGGCTCGACCAGCCGGCGGCTTGCAAGGCAAATGCCCTACTGCTGTGCTATCGCTCCAGCCCATACACTAATTTAAAAAAAAATTAAGATGTTCTTTCCACTCTGTTTGTTTGGCTTGTGGGTCAGACCCAGCAGTACTAAGGGCTTACTCCTAGCTGTTCACTCAGGGATCACTCCTGGAGTTGCACTGGGGACCATGGTACCACGGATCAAACTGGAATCGACCTCATGCCAGGCAAGCACCTTACCGACTGTACTATCACTGCCCTTTGCTGTTCTGATAAATGTGGGAATGACTAGTGCAAACCTTTTCCCTTCTTGCAGCCCTGAATGAGGAGGGACCTTCCCCCCTCCCCCCACCTCCAGCAATCAAGGGAAGGAAACTTCCTCAACCATGAAGGGAAGTGGAGGGAGTTTCAGCAAGAACTCCAATGCTGTGGGGGATGGTTTGGAGGTCAGTTCCTGCAGAACCAGCTATTTCCCACCTCCAGACAACCTGCCACATGAGAACTGGCGGCTGAAGTCCTCAGGCAGTTCCTTGCGGCCCAAAGCGTTGGTGTCCGTGTCAGGTGCAGAGGTCAAGCGCCCTGTGGATGCAACTGAGAGTTGAACTGATCAGATGGGAATGAACAGGGCTTGGCCTGGGCAGCAGCCAGGTGGCAGGAGACCTGTGTGGGCATGACCAAGCGGTTGTGTCAAGTGTCAGTTTATGTTCTCAGAAGAGCTCAGGGGAGTTCTGTTGTTCCTCACCCTCCCCAGACCTTGTCACGTTGCTTTCCCATCTTTGTTTTAGCAGAGAACCAGCAGTCCCAGTCCCGGTAAGCACTTAGCACAGTAAGGAAGGGCCGAGGGAGGGAGAGGGAAACAGACGAGGGACCACAGGATTCTGGAGCATAGTCTGTAAGATGAAGGCCCTTGGGGGTGTTTAAATCCTATGCAGGGAGAGTTCCACAGAGATGGGGTTGAGGAGCCACTGAGTGGACACACTTGAAAGAATTTAGAGGTAAAGTAACTGTGGAGAGGTGAGACTGGATACAAAGTCCAGTAGGGGTAGTCTGAGATTATTCGGGACAGGGGATTCCCTCTCATCCCCAACCCCCCACCCCCACCCCCCACCCCCAAGGTCAGGCTGTTTTCTGGGCATTCCCTTACTGGGGAGGGGGGAGGGGGGAGGGGATTGACTGGATCCTAGGTTGAAATCTTGCTCGTGTTACTGGGCAGACAAGGGCCTGCAGGAAGGCTCTGGAGCCTGAGCAGACGGTCCAGGTGGAACTGGGTATTTTTCAGTGATCTCCATGGGACAGTCTGTGTCATTGGCTGCACATGATGGTTAGTGTATTTTTCTTGTGTTCTAGTTTGAAAGTCTAGCATCTAGGAAATATGGATGTGGCTTGAAAATAAAACAGTGGAGGACAATGATAGTACAGCAGGGAGGGCTTTTACCTTGCACGTGGCCAACCTGGGTTCGAGGTCTGGCTCCCCATTTGGTCCCCTGAGCACGGCCAGGAATGATTCCTGTATACAGAACCAGGAGTCAGCCCTGAGCTCGGCCTGGAGTGGCCCAAAATGAAAAAGGGAAAAAAGAAAAGAAAACAGAACAGAAAGTTGCGTCATCCGGAACCTAGTTCCCCTCTCAATCCCCAGCGGTTCCCCTTCTTTCCAGCTGCTGTGGGCCAGGGTGCTGGAGAGGGCAGAGGAAGATCTAGTTACTTGGCTGCAGTGTAATCTGGCCCTTCTGCCACCAACCCACACGGGGAAACCTATTGCTCGGGGCCTTCAGCAAATGCCCTCACTTTGTAATTTTAACCTGAGAGAGCGTGAAGACCCCAGGCAAGACCCCCCTCAACTGGGATGAGGATTATTCAAAGTACAGTCAGGCGACGGTGAGAAACAGGGGGGCAGGATCTCAGAGAAAGTGGATCAGCAGAATGTACAGCCATTTTACCACAACAACGATTTACGTTTAGCTTTTTTCCTCACTGTTGTGTTGTATCAAAGGGGTTGATCCCAGTGGGCTGCCTTTCCCAGCCTCCCTGTCCACTGACTTCTCCATGGTTCAGGGAGTGGAGGGCACCCTCCAGGGATCAAAGGGTAGAAAAAAGAAGCTGCTTCCGGAGTGAAGTACAGTGCAGTACAGTGCAGAAGGCGTTTACCTTACGCACCCCCAACCCAGGTTCAATCCCTGCATTCAGTATGGTCCCCAAGCATCTCCAGGAGTAATTCTTGAGTGCAGAGTGAGGTATGCCCCCAAACAACAACAACAACAACAACAACAAAAGAGAGACTGCTTCTGATGGTAGCAGGGAGACTAAGCGTTGCCCCGCGTGTCCGATGCAGTCGTGGCAGCAACACCATTGTCATTCTCAGCACTGCAGCTAAGGTATGTGATACCACAACCTACTAGTCATCACAGCAACAACAACCAAGGGACGGGGGAGGAGAAAGAAGAAATGAGCAGATGTGAGTGGCCACTTTTCTAAAGAGGACACACAGATGGCCAAGGGGCATGTGGAAAATAGTGCTCATCATCACTCGCTCTTAATTAGGGAAGTGCAAAATAGTCACAATAGATATTTTCTCATGCCTTTGAATATGGCTTCCATAAAAAACAAACAAAAAGCTGAAGGCTTGTATCAACAATGTTAGAAAGGGTGCAGATGACTAA